TTTATTGGGCCGCAATTTATAACACTGCTCGTCCGGGGTTGCCTGTGCGGAGCGCGACCCCAGCGCTCTGCGGGACACCCACCAGAACGGCAAGGCTGCTTGGCATTCAGGCTCAGACCTCCCAAAGAGAACGCTGCGGCGTTTCCCAAAGAAACAAACTGCTCTCCCGGTTTTGAAGATTATATTTTATGCATCAGTTACACATCGATCAGAATGGAAACAGAACTGGGATGGAAATGTCTCTCGCCCGTCGCAGTTGTAAAGCACGGGAGCCGAGCACACGGCTAAGAACGGGGATTTTCATAGCAGGCACGTGTTGGAGAGACAGTCACTAGCAGTCTGCTTTGGGAGAATGCACTTTGCTAACACCTAGCAGAAGGCAGTTCTGACAGCTCCAGAAGAGTTTGCTGCGAGATGTGGAACTGCCCCCGAACTCATAGATGGGCTGTGGTCTTTCTGTGCCCACATTTACATGTGTCAACATCATTCTTGAAATTAAACCTTTAGCTATATCAGGTATCACAGGTTAGACTAAATACTTGAAGAAAGAAGCCAAGGTGTTCAATTTTATGAATTTATTTTCCATTCCTTCCCAAGGGAAAAGGCCTTGTTTTTCAGCAGCTTTTAGACTATCCTCCTGCTCTGGGGTATATTTGCCTCACATGCTTCTCTACAGAGCTCTAGATATTTGCAATTGGTTTGAAGAGAGTTCAGCGTTTCTTTGAGCTATTTGGCTTTTCTAATGAATAAACTTTAGTTAATCCCCAAAAACTTTAGTCCCATGGAGTGTTTTGGGTATTTTTTTGCTTTGCAGTCTCCATTTTTCACTTGCATTTCATTACCACGTTCAAAACCCAATACTCTGATACTCTTTTAGCATCTTTTGTTCCGTCCCATGGAGAACCACTGCTCAGATGTTTAGATTAACCTTGCTTTATGTGATGATGATCAGGCACAGTGCTCAGTTTGCATATACAACAATTTATTTGACCTCGTACATTTTGGTTAATAACCAAATATTTTCTAAGCATTTGTCTGTCACACCAATCATTTCAGGTCGGTGCTCATCGCATTCCCTATCGGAAATAAAAATAAATCATATAGGTAGGGTACAAGATGCTCTCTTAAAATGATGGCTAAAACACTGACAAAACTAATGATATCTACTAATCACTAAAACCAAAGGTAAACTAATGAGAGGCATGACATACCAGCTAGACATGCAACATAACAGCCAAGTAGCATCTGCCAGTTTGACTTTAGGGTAATTTTTTTCTTACATCAAGTAATTAATCTAACAATACGGAATATAATCCGTGTTTAGGATGTCAAGCAACTCTTCAGAAGTTCATATAGACCATTTTGATGTAACAGCAGAGAGAGCAAAGGCACTCAAAACACTGAGTAACATCAGGAGTTGGGAAGTGGACTGTTTCCCAGCAGCGCTCTGTAAAATGAGAGAGAAGTTTGATAAGCCCATTTTAAAAAAAGCTCTATTTATTATGATTATAAAAGCATAGAAAACTTCAGAGAAATCTTTTCCTATCAGCCCCTTCTATTATGTAGACACTTCTGACGTTAAAAGATCATGTGCCACATCTATAGTGCATGTAAATCAACAAGTGTTCAGTTTTCAAGTGACAGGCACAGTCAGAAGTATAAAGCACCTATGTGGTCCCACTTCTCTTCATTTTTGTTCATACTATTGCCATTTATTATGCTGCACATGTATTGTCAAACATTCAGATACAGGAAATTTGACAGATGCATCACAGCATAAATAACAATTTCAGTTTTCTATGACATGGATAAGAAGAAACCAGTAGAAACTACAAAAAGTGCTTACCACTTGACTGCCGCCTGCAGAAGGTGATTGCTGAAAAAAACAAACAAGCAAATAAATCCGGAGTGTTCCCACCCAATGGTTTCAAACACAGTTTTTGCCTGTGATCAACCAGATCTTACTAGCTTAACCCACAGCATGGTTTTAAGTTGTTCAGGAGGAAAGTTGCTTTGCATAGATAAAGCAGATAATTTTATTTACACACTGTCTCATGTTACATCTGAAAATTTCAGCTAAAATTGATGAAAGGCCAAAAGTCCATTTTTTTCCTCATTCCATTATCATATTCAATACAGAGTTTTCCATCCCTATATTTGAAAGAGAGTGTTAAAAATTGATGAGTACTGAAAAAAAGGTGTGAAACCTGGTAACCTGCCAGTGAAAAACTCAACAATATGCTTCAAGCCCCTAACTGGAATGTGAAACGAGACAGATTCAGATTTAAAATCTAGTTGACACTGAAATCTCTTTCCCAGGCTGAGGCTCTGTTTTCCACAGGGGTTTCTCTACATATGCTCTAGTACAAATGGAACTAATACAGAATGTTCTTTTCAGACCAAATCCTCCCGAAATGGCTCTACCTACCACTCAGGGTCTTTGCTTACTAAGAAAAGAACATGAAAATGCTGTGATGAAAGTGTTCTTACCTGTTTCCCAGGGTAAGTGCTTCCTGAGCCAGAGCCACCCTGTAAAATAATTATGAACCATTTAACTTTGTAGTGTGAGACTGTTAGTGACAGTGTCCAAAGAGCACAGAGAAGTCTTGAAAATGCCCTGGATATTAGTAGTTTTGATACTGACTTTGATTTTACCATTTTCATTGCACTTTCCTCCAGCTTTTTAAATTTAATAGTGTAAAGTTAGCACAGCTATGTTCTCCTTATTCCATGAACAGTTTCAGAGGAATGTGTCAAAGCAATGTGTCATGGACTGAACTACAAAGTTTGAAACTGAAACAGTTACCCTGATATTTAAATACATCATTCTTAATAGAATGACCTAAGTGTGTTCCTATGAGTAACAGGAGTGTATCAAAACTTTTCTATGGGAAGAATAAATGCTGCCTCATCGTAAAGTTCCAGTCTGGACAAAATATTCCAATTTTATTCGCCAGTGTTCTCAGATATTTACCACTGTAACATAATTTTAAATTTCACCCTCATTATTGTTACCTATTTTAAAACCCAATATCCACATTTCTAGATTGGTTGCAGAATACTGAAAGAAGAATATCCTTACTGGCTTTCCTTGTTGACTGCTTCCTGAGGAAGATGAACCCTGAAAAAAGATACCTGTTTTTGACTCTAAGTCTATTTGCACTTAAATATTCTTCCTATCTGGAATAAAAGACCACAGGAGAATGAGCACTGCATCCAGTCATCCAAAAATCCCAGGGAAAACCTCATCTCAAATACAAATATTTAACATGTTTCTGTTATGGCTGTTCTTTCAAATGATGTATTAGAGAATGTAATACTCTTGGAGTTGTAATGTTTTTAACATATGGAATGAAAAACTGCTAAGGTCCAATTAAACATAAATAAACCTGATGTCAGTCTATGGTTACATTTGAGGGAAAAAACCCCAACAACAACAAAAAAAAGCAAATGTTAGAGTCCTTTACTCTCAAGCCCCTACTTGAAGAAAGCTCTGATAAAAAAGGTACCTGAAAATAAAAGTGGATACAGAAAAATGAGGTGTTCTGAAAGCATCTTACTGAGTTTTCTGGTGAAGTGGCTCTGCTTATTTGAATGGCATTGCCAACAGGAAATGTTACGAGCATTGACTCTTTAAGAAATCAAATAGAGCACACAAAATGTCTCACCTTTCTGACCTATGTATTAGAAAATGTAACATATATGCTCACTTCTTAATAATGGGTGGATACATCTTCTTTTCTATAAGAGATAAGCTAAAACATTGTGTGTGCTTATTTGTATCTCCTGCCACTGAATGACAAGAGCAAGGTCCAAATTACATAATAAACTTAGTAGTCTGAAATGGGAGAAGTTGAAAATATGCATAGTTAAATGGCAACTATTATTTCATTCAAAAAGAAAAAGAAAGTATTTTCTTCAGAGCAAGCCAGAAATACTTAAGACAAATGTATATAAAATCAATGAAAACCTGAGCCCTGAGCACAAAGTGTATGATTGCTATGAAATTAAACAGAAATAACTGCTCCACAGTTACTTACACAAAAAAAAATAAAAATTCCTGTGATCTCATTCTGTGATTAATACAAGTTCAGTTACAGAATAAAATGCTGTCTCAAAACTATGGAACTGTGTGAAAATAAATACTGTGTTTGCATATTTTGAGTTTATCCCAGGAAAGTAAATCATGTGACACACTTTGTATATTAAAGTAACTCTCAGAAAACTGTCTAGTCCACAACTAACTAGATACAGTTTGTGTAACAGATGTATGAGAAAAAAAGGTAAATCTGATTTTTTTTTTTTACTTACTGGTTTACCATGTTGTTTGCCTCCAGAAGGATATGAGCCCTGTAGGAAGTCCATCAAAAATTTATTAATTGAATGAAAAATCTTTTATCACAGTCTTGAGACAATTTGTGCAGTACTTAGGGTAAACTTTTGTAGATGTTCTTTGAACCAAAAAAAGTAAATGGGGTACCCAAAACTTATGCTCTGTACTGCACACCAAAACAATGGCAATTTGTATCAGGGACATAGAGTTTCGAAATGCAGCGTGATGACTGGAGTATGTTCAAAGGAGTGTTTGACACAGAGCAGTAACTCACTGCAACTGAGCTTTTATTCACCTTGCTGAAATGACTTCCATCATTATTACCTCAACTATTTCAGCTTAGTAAAATAGCCAAGTTATTGTATCTTTCAGCATCAAGTAACTGACCTGATCTAGAAAGTATGGGCAAAGAGTTAGGAATGATTGGATGGGAAGAGAATATACTCACCTGCCCACCATACTGGCTGCTTCCTGAGGGATATGATCCCTATTAAAAAAAAATTACAGGACATTAACAGCAGTTGGAGGGTTTTTTTGTTTGTTTATTTGGTTTGGTTTTGTTTTTTGTTTGTGGATTTGTGTTTTTTTTCTGTGCAAAATGAAACATCACAGAAGGATTTGTGGCAGGAGATCTCAGTAACAATCTGGAAAGTATATTGATCTAAAAAGATGCAGTGAAAGACTTCTGACTTAATGCCTCTAAGTTCCTTAACAGCTAAAAGTAGTGAAGTTGGCAGTCACAAAACACCTAAAACTGTATAATTCCATAAATATATGGATCTAAAGTGTCATACTTATGGCTCTGTTCAAGAGAAAATAAAATCTACTTTGTGATTTTCTGCTATGTCAGACATGTTCAGAGAGCATCATGTGATTATTGTAAAAGGATCCTTATTATTCCAAACAGGTGACTTGGGAAAAAAAACATTGATCTGCAGCTGTTAAAACTCCTCTCCATGCTACAAGAGATTATCTTCTTAATAGAGTGATACTGAACTCTAATGTTTGCCAGTGGATTAAAAGTAAATTAAAATTTCTAGTATAGCAGAGTGAACACTGCAAACACAGAAGTACTAATGAAAAATAAGCTCCATCTAATTAGCCATCCATTAAATCTGTCAGCTACTTGCACTAGGCAGATTTCTGAATCAGTGACAAACTACCTAAGTCTTCACAGGGAGCTGATTACAGTAAGGGACTTGAATTGCAGCTGAAGATAAGGGAAATAATAGTACTGTGGGCAACAGACCAGAATTTATATTTTCAGAGCAATTATCTATTGGTATATTTTGTACCAAATTTTTATAGGTATTTGATCTAAATAAATTTTTTAAAAAATATCATTTCAATATAATTGAAAAATAGCACAGAAAATAGTTTGAACTGGTGTCATAACAATGTGAAACTAAAACATAAAAATGGCTAATGAAGGTTATCCCTTGAGAGAAGAGGCATTCTGAGGTAAAACAACTGGAATTATGATCTATGGAATTTCTTTAAACTGAAGTTTGTTCTTGCTACTCCATTTCAGTTACTGGGAAACAGTCCCTGTTTTCAAATGTTTAGTAAGGGTAAGATGACTCTGAAAAACTGACTGTTAGTATATGCACTGCATCATGTTTTGCATTTAAGAAAAAGCAAGTAGAAACAAGTTGAGAACAAAAGAATGTTGCTTGCCTGTCCACCATACTGACTGCTTCCAGAATATGGGCCCTGCAAAAAGAACATGAAACTTTTATCAATAATTTTTAAATGGCACCTGACATCAAAAAAATCCTGGACCTAATATAAACAATACTCATGACACTGATTGACTGAAAGAACTTTACACAGCTGCTAATGCAGTGGCAAATAACTAAATACCTGCACATATTAGTGGTTGATGCAATGAGATGAACCCCATAAATGATTCTCTAGTAATTTTGCAAGGTGAGAAAGCTTCCATAACCACAAAGTAAAAACTTGACTCTAGTATATAGAATGGTGCAACTGAAATGTCAAGAGTGATTCAATAAAAGCCTCATGCAGTTCCTGGAATTATTGTCCCTGTCCCTGTGACTAAACTGAGCTCAATATTTAATGACTTCTGGGCAAATATGGCAACTATCCCTGAGGAACTACTCTAGATAACTGTTAAAGACAAATCTCCTACCTGTCCACCGTGGTAGTTGGTCCCAGCAAAAGAGCCCTGTATGCAACAGAAAGAGCAATGTTTACTCTGTGTTAAACTCAGTGTCACACAGCAAAAACAAGAGAACATATTGACCTATTGCAATGATCAAGTGATTTACACTGGTTACTACTACACTTTTAATTAAAGAAGTAAAGGATTTAGTTTTGATTCATCCTTGTTTATATGTCAAATAATATACATTTTATATAGTGTGTGTGTATGTAAGTGATAATTATTATAATAATGTAATTTCTATTTATATGAATTATAACTTCTATGTTGTTTTCAGCACTTTTGATTCTCAGAAGTGGAATATATACCATGAGTGGTATACTTGGGTGTGTGGTTTTGCTTGATTGCATAATCTGAGGAAGAGAAGTAGTCATCTAAGCAATTTTGACTCTACTGAAAAAACAGGTAACTGGACCCTCCCTCAAAAATAAATTAGCTTGATCTCAGCAAAACAGTGGGCTGGGTTTTTTGAAAGTATTTCCAAAAGAATAGGGAATATACTAATTAGACAGAAAAAAATGGGAATAGCTTTAACTTTTTAAGTGCTTTGCTCTGCTCCAATGTGCAAGTATTTGGGGCCAAGATTTTACATCTAAGCTTCAGTAGCTCAGTCATACTGTTAATAACCATCATAAGAGCAATGCTATTACACATACATGTCCAAAACCCAACAGGTATACTATGAGATATATGGGAAACAGGTTCTTAGAAAACTCCCAGGCCTCTCTCACAGACTGAGCAGCTAGTTTTGAATACAATACTACAGTTGCAAGTCACTTAATATTTTTGTCCTTAGCAGGTTCAAAATTGCTCATTTTAGCATAATGTGAAGAAAGCTTTCATCATGCAGAGAATTTCACAGACAGAATTATTTCAGAAATGTAGCTCCCTGGGAATTATCCAGTATGTGTACATACTATGAAAATTATAAAAAGACAAAGAATACTCACTGAACCTCCACCGGGGCACACACACCCACCCTGCACAAAACACAACCACACTTACTTTCCTGGGTCTACTATTGCAATAGGCCTCTGAATTAGTAAATCAAACTCACATTCTGCTACTGCATGAAAATGGACTATAACATCCTGCTCATAGATTCTGCAAGCTGAAAAATAGGTTCTTTCTGCCTCCACTGTCCTTTTCAGGCTAGCCCTGCACTTACTGATCAAATTTTTTAAATAGAATCTTCTAATTTCTCAGCTTAGTGATCAAATTTTTAAATAGAATCTTCTAATTTCTCATTTAGGATTTTCAGTAAAAAACTACTCACTAAAAGGATGAGTAAAAAATTCTGAATAGTAATATAGACTTTTGTTGGAGGTTTTTTGGGTTTTTTTTTTCCCCCTGAGGAGATCAGGGTACCTAGAACATGTACAATAGGAATAGTAATACAGACTTTTGTTGGGGTTTTTTTGTGGTTTTTTTTTCCCCTGAGATGATCAGGGTACCTAGAACATGTACAATACTCTTCATGGTACAGATGTTACAGAAAACACTAAAGATGACTCCCAGTGAAGGTCTGTTAGGTAATTTCTACTCCTGTAAAACTAAGTAAGAGGTGGCCAGGGCTTCACTCTATTCAGTGTCTCACTTTCCACATTCAATCTGGATGAAGTGTGTGAAGGGAAACAAGTCTTGTGAAGGAAAGCTAGACAAAGCAATTTGTGAGTGCCTGACACTAGCAGAACTGAGCAGTGCAGAGAAAGAAAAACGTACCTGTCCACCAGACTGTCTGACTCCTGAGGAAAAGCCCTGGAAAAAAACGAGTAATTAATTATTTCTGTGTTACTGAGTAACATTCTCACTTGTTCTCTGTGGTCCTCAGTCTTTCAAATTGCTTGTGTTTAAACTTAACACAAAAAAAATTGGGCTTCTTAAATCATGGTCTGTTAAAGAAGCATTTCCATGCAGTCACACAGGTATCATTTGCTCATATCATGACCTGACATACAGACAGACCCATACTTAGCAATCCTTACTCAATCAGGCTTAATGCTATTCTTTCTTAGAATGTTCCTTTATTTTTGCAAAAAATAAAGGTCAGATTGCCTAATGGTCCGAAACTGCAAGTACCATGAAAGTAGAAGTTTTACCTGTCCACTATATTGGCTGCTTCCTGAAGGAGCTACACCCTAAAGAAATGAGAAACATTTATATTTGTCGCACATTCTCTAACTTATGACCTGTCACAGAAAAACACACTTTTATTTGTCTTTCGTGGATTTAAGTGTCACAGGAATACGAAAACTCCTTTTATAATCACACTGAAATCCACTGGCCTTTACAACAGCTGCTGTTTAAACAGAACAATGAGGTTTGAGTCAAAGGCAGCTTCAGGCAGGTTTGAGCAGTGCTGCTGCACTGGACTGTGTGATCACAGCAGCCCCCTATGTTTTATTTTCCTTAGTGGGCTGACACAGCAGAAAGTCATATATTCATCTATTCTGCCTAAGCACTGTTTTGCTAGAGGCCACCCCTTTACAAAATATTCTGTTTTTTACCAAAGAAAAAGGTGAATAAACAAGAAAAAGGTACCCATGAATCAAAAAAACCATTTCTCACCTGTGCTCCATAATGGCTGCTACCTGGGAAAGATGAACCCTGAAGCAAAGGTGCCAATTATTTCTCAAATCATAAAGCTTCTTTAAGAGCTTTTCAAAGAAAGACTACTTTCTTTCTCTGTTGCACAATGAAAAGTTACAGGAAGATGAACACTCAACCTATTGCTTTATGTGCTCTATGCAAATTAGGGCTGATCCTTTACATATAATCTATAGTACCGATCATGTAGTTTTGGGAGATTGTACTTAGACTATAAATATCTTTCTCCTCTAATTCCCTGTCCAATAAATCTGACAATAAATGTTTTCAGAGGCCAAGAATTAGTTTGTTGGGGATGTCACTCTGTATTAGAGACTATACCACTAGGCAGCACTAGGAACCCTATCCATCATCTGTCATTTCATGAGGGCATGGAACACCTCTTAGCAAACTCCTGACCTTCTCCCTGTTCCTCTACCAAGACATACTGCTCTCTGGCATCAACTCTGACACTGTATTTTGTGAAGGAAGTGAGGTAGAGGAGGAATGTAATCTCCTTCCAGCCACTCCTTACTGCTAGAGTTAAGGAACCTTGACAGCAGCATGGCAGATTGAAGACAGAACTGCATTTACTATGATACCATAGAAGTACCAAATCTCCATAGTTTTTGTATTGTTTCAGATCATATATCATTAGATTCCTGATCATCTATTATCAGATTAACAAACTTTACTCAAAATATTTCTTCAGTCAATATAAAAGTACCAAGTTCTGATGCAGAAAGTGTGCTAAAGTAAGAACTACACAGGAAGAGATTCTCACCTGTCCTCCATACTGGGTGCCTCCTGAAGAAGGTGAACCCTGAACAAAAAAGAATTAAATGATCTTTATATCCATGTCAGAGTACTCCTTTAAACCATGCCCATGCTCCATGTGAAGGAGAAGTACCCAATTTCTTTTACTGCAGAACTGTGAGTGGACTGAACCAGAATGTGCAAAAATAGGTGAGACTCATCCACATGTACCATGATACATCAGAAATTCCACCTAAAAACTCTTCTGTGGTTTTGTATCACATACATATATAAGGACTATATACCTTGCAACAAATTAGATAAAACATGGGGAAAAAAACCCATACCAAAACCCAATCTCCTTAAATTCTTCTTTTACAGAGAGAAATACCAAATCTCTTTGATAAATTAGGAAACACTACAAGGGAAGAATTCTCACCTGTCCACCATACTGGCTGCTTCCTGAGGAAGGTGAACCCTGAAAATCAACAAAAAAGGAAATTGAAACTTTTTTACACCCATTTCATAGACTCATAGAATTGTTTCATGAGGCTTTTAAAAATTTTGGTCAGCTTCACGAAGTACTGATTTATGTCAGAAAGACATGATCTCTAGTTCTGCAAATTTCAGGGGCCAATGGAGTCAACTATTTATTTCACACTCTAGTTTTTCTTAGTCTTAAATAATGATCTTCACCTGAACTTGGTTTGTTTACTCACAGTAGCATCAAAACACTGCAGAGAATGAATTACTGAGAAGATTTTAGACTAAATTAAAGCTAAGACAGCCAGCCAGGTAGACAATTAATAAACTACAACTTTGCATAGGTCAAAACTACAAAAGCAGGGGCTACTCATGCTTACTTGTCCACCATAACTGCTGCCTCCGTAAGAAGATGGCCCCTGGAAAAATATTGAAAACCAGTTATTTCTAAATATCTAGGTCATAGAGATCAGCAGCAAAGACATCTATATTTTGTTATTTGACTGTTTGTGTGTCTGTTTATCCCAGAATAAGCTCTGTATTTTTGTCTCGCTTGAATTCACAGTATTACTACAGAGTATAGACCACTATCAATTTTCTCAAAATATTAAATTGACATCCTTTACTTAGTATGAGCCACATACTGGTAAAACAAATAGATCTCATAAAATATTAAAAGAAAGAGCTTACCTGACCTCCATACTGGCTAGTTCCAGAGGAATATGAGCCCTGTAAAGAACACCAATTGAGTGAATTATCTGCAGTAGAATTTCCTTAAATCAAAACATGACTCTCCCAGGACAGCAGGAGCAAGAGAACAAGGAGAAGACAAGTGAGCAGGACTTTCAGTGTGCTTTAATAAGTGGAGTTCAAGCCTTGCAAGGTAAGTTGGGGAAGTAGTGAGTTTCTAAGCAAGGGAGGAAGGCAGAGAGATACTGCTTTGTTTGTGTGACTTGTTGGGAAGGTTGAAGTGACATTCTTTGCAGTTCTTTGCAGTTCTTTGCTCATTTCTGGAGAATGGCATTTGTTTCTTTATTCTGGGTCAAAGCTAGCAGTAAAAGATTGGCTGCCTAACAGGGCTCTGAAAACCAAACTAAGCAAATTTACTGACATCACATGCAACAAGAGGTCTCTTTAAAAAGGAGAGATTGGATTTTTGGTTTTCTTGGTAATGGAATTAGGCCCACTAGGAATCAAAACTGCTACATTTTGATTCATTTTTTTCCCCACACCTGTTTCTTATTGGTTGGCTTCATTATGCAGGTTTCACAAAAACAAGGGCACTATTTGCTATAAAAAACATTCTGTATAATTTTTAGGACACATCAAACTCAATGATGAATTTAATTTTCTGAGTTTTTGCTCTTTATACAGTTCCCATATAAAAACTGAGTTTAATTGAGTTAATGAATAACTATAATTTTCAATAGTAGCAAACTGGCTCTCCTCCTGAAATGAGTGCTTACTTGGCTATTGTACTGGCTGCTTCCAGAAGATGATGAGTCCTGGGGAAAAAAAAAAAGACCAAAGCAAACTGTTATTTTTGTCTAAAAGAATTATTTCAAAGCAAAATCTCTTGAAGGACAGCAGTATATAAATTCATATTTTAAACTTTTTCGCTTGGGTTTAAAATCCACTCAAAAGGTAAACTCTAGCCTTCCCTACTTTGTTAATCCATCTAAAATCCAGTGTGCACCTGTACACCAGAACAGCTGCCTCCAGAGCCTCTTCAGAAAGGAAATACTAGTTATTTCTCAAAGGATAAGAGACTGAAGGACAGGCACCTTATTTGCTTCATCTTAAAATCTGCATGCTGAAGAGCAACATCCCTACATAGAGCTTCTAATATTAATTCTTGAAGAATACTACAGATCTCTTGAGTACTTTGAGCTTCCACAAGTTCTGCTAAGCTCATAAAGAAACTTTTGTGTTTAGTACATAATGTGAAGCATCTATCAGAAACATGTCCTTCATTTCAAACTAACAAACTAACAGTTCAGATGTTAATTGTGTAAAATGACTTTTCAATTGCCCTGTAAAGAAGATATTAAAGACAAAGTTCTGAGGTAGACTGCAATATATACTTGGGGGAGAACTAAGATCTACATTCAGTAAGCAAAAGCCACTCTCCCATGCTGAGGCACTGAGAGTATCTATGCATTAAAGTATGGATCAATAAGGTGTCTTTGAGACCGAAGTCCTGATAGTTCCCACTTACTGTAGTTTGTTTTTCCATCATGGGGTGGTCTCAGAGTAAATTAACTGGATGCTGTTCAGATTAAACTAAATTGCAGAATGCTTTCTAGGGGCACACAATGCATTCGGGTAGTAAATAGAGTTTTGGTCCAGAGCAGAGCAAATCATTCCTGAAATGTGTGTAGTGTGGCCACCAGTTCATCAGCACTAATGCTGTTTTCAGTACTTGTTGATGTAGACACTACCACTATGTTCCTGCAATCTTTATACACAATCCCTGATTCTGAGCTGCTGTCCAAAGACAGCCAAGTCAGTAAAAAACCCAAAAGAATCAGTTCCAATTGGAAGTTTCAAAGGAGACAAATACCAACAAGAACAAGAAGGATGTAGAACACAGGTGGGTAAGAATATTTTCCTGACTGTGATATAAACACCTTCCACCTTTCTACAAGGGAGCACAAGACTAGTCCTATTTATCATGTAATATTAATTTTTGCATGGTACATTTATGTAGCTGTGTCCAAGCCAGCTTTGTATCAGTCAGCTGTGTGGTAGCAGTGCCACAGAGCTCAGACACAAAAAGATTCAGATGTTTTTCTTCCCTTTAGTGCAGCTCCTGTGACATACATTATGACTTTCCAACATGATGAAAAGAACTGGTTTTGGGAATGCTGTAAACAGATCTCTCCTGCAAAAGTGTTCTTATCCACATGAGAGGGTTGGCAACATTGAATTACTCATCTATGAATACTAACCCTTCTTGCAGTAAATTATCTAAGAGGAATAAAATAACATAAATCCATGTCCTTGGGAGATATTTTGACATAATTACAGGAAAGCCAATGGAACTGACTCCTGAACTCAATATTTATACTGTTATGTACCTGCATTTGTGACAAACACTTTTCATTGAAAGTCTTCTCTTTGGATCAAAACTATTTCAAATGGAAAGAGAATCTCTGAGTGTTGCATGAATGTTCTGTGTGTATTTTCAGTTGTAGCTAAGACAGGTTACTGTCACAGGTGTGTGACTTCTATGAGGAACTGTCTCTTTTATCCTCTCTAGCCATTTTACTGATGAGGCAAACAGAGGGGACACTTAAAAGCTGATGAACATTGCTTACATTTGCAGAGGACTCGCTTCTGGCTGAGGTAGGGGATCCACTCTATACGGGGTGGGGGAAAAAAGAAAAAAAACAATTAGCCTTTGCTTATAAACTAGAAATGAAACAAAACCTTAGAAGTGATGTGGGGATGGTCCTTTCTTTTGAGCAGCAAGCAATAGAACAAGAGGAAATGGCCTCAAGTTGCTCCAGGGGAAGCTTAGATTGGATATTGGGAAATAAATTCTTCACTGAAAGGATTATCAAGCACTGGAACAGGCTGCTCAGGGAAGTGGCTGAGTCACTACCCCTGGAAGGACTTAAAAGACTTATCTACACCTATCTAGATGTGGGGCTTAGGGACCTGGTTTAGTGGTGGCCTTGGCAGTGCTGAGTCAGTGGTTGGACTCGATGATCTTAGTAGTATTTTCCAGCCTAGATGATTCAATGATTCTCTAATGCCAAATTCTTCCTCTTGGCATAATGAGAAATAACTCCTACCATGTCAGAAACATCTAAGTCACCAAAGGAACAATGAATATAAAACTAAGAGTATGTTCAAACAACCAAGTTAGAAATAAATAGGATCAAAATTAATTTTCCAGTTAAATAATTTAGTACAAGAAAATGTATAATGAATGTGTAGCACTTACAGAACTTCCCCCAGAACAATCACATCCACCCTGTAAAGAATGCAAAAAGTATTTAAGATATCAAGAGCACCAGACTGAAACAGAATCCAGTTACAACTCAAATTACTTCTACCATCCCAGGTACTAACCATAAAGTTACATTCTTAACTGCCCAACTTCTAGAAATCAGTCTATATCATCCTGTGCAACTATTTCTGCACTTATTGCTCTGATGGGGTAACAAAATGCTCATTCTGTTATCTTCAGATTTTCTTTTATACAATCTTTACCTTAAAAAACTTACTCACCAAAAGGATGAGTAAAAACTTCTGAGTAGTACTACAGATAGCAGGTTTGGGTTTTTATTTTCTAGAGAGGCCAGAGCACCTGAATACATGCAGTACTATTTCACATTACAGATGATATAGAAAATTCTGACAAAACTAGCTGAGAGGTGGCCAGGAGTTCACAATTCAGTGTCTCACTTTCCACATTCAATTCTGCATGAAATGTGTAAGAAAAATGGCACCAAAGCATGTACAGAAGCTCAGATTCAGCTGCCAGCCAGTTACTACTGGCTGCTCTGCTTTGCAGGATGTCTGAATGACATGGCAAAAGAAAGCAATGTGTTGCTGAGGCTCTGGGCAAAAAGGACAGCTGTGAAGAACAGCATTTGTGAAGGAAAGATATGAAAAGTAAATTTTGAGTGCCTGACACTAGCACAACTGAAGACTGTGGAGAAAGAAAATCATACCTGTCCACCAGACTGGCTGCTTCCTGAAGATGTTGGACCCTGAAAATGTAATATTCTCATTTAAAAATTTTTCTTTGACATTTGTGTTTGCTTGCAAATGTGATGTCTTTTACTCTTTTAACTATGTTTGAAAAGATTTATCTGGTTAAGAACACAATTTTATCTATATAAAGATAAATGAGGATAAAATAAACCACACTGTAGTTTGGAAACTTAGGTATTACCAATCTGGTGATATTTTTTTTTTTGTAATATGTGCATTGGGAAAAAAAAGCCTTCACTATAACAACCATGAAGAAAACTTTCCCACCTGCCCACCATACTGGCTGCTTCCAGATGAGGATGAGTCCTGAAAAAAATAAAAATAATTTACTTTATATTTAAAAAAATATAAATTAATCCAAAATATTTATTAATTTTGTTTCCTGCTGTTAGAACATCATTTAATGCATGAATTGGATTTTGGCCACTCTGCTTACACTTGGACTTTTACATAGAGATATATGAGAAAGAATGAATCTTGTGCACAGATAAAATATTGCTGTAATACAATATGAGGACTGAAACTTTTGTGTAACAGATACAGGTCAAAAATACAAAGATTTAACATTTACCTGTCCACTGGAGTAGCCACCACCTTGAGAAGATGATCCCTGAAAAAACCAGACTCAGTTTATTTTTGTTTAAAACTGCTTCTGGCAAATAAGACTATTGTTGAAGACACACAATTTTAAATTTTTTTTTTTCAAACAGTTTGTCATTTGATTTCACAAGGCATGATGCCAGATGTCATGAGAAATTCTAGGAAATAGATAGTTAGGTATAATTTACTCATTGGAATAATTTTGAAATAGTACATCCATTTTGGATGGGAACTGCAAATAATGAATAAAATAGATGCTTACATGTCCACCTGACTGGCTGCCTCCTGGGGAATAAAAATCCTGGAAAAATGTATTGAAATTACATGAAAAAACCAAAACCCAAAACCTGGAAAGATCAGGATGGAAGCTAAACACCCCTTTCTTGCTTCTCCACATTCCTTAATTTTCTGTTATGGATTGTTCAAGAACAAGAACAAAAAAATCTTCTCTCTTACTGTATAAAACAGCACATGCCCCTTTATGTCAATCTGTGTCATTTACTTCTCATTAGGATAAATAAAATTGGTGCCATGTAAAACCAACAGAAAAATGAAGTCCTACAGCACAACAAAGCAAAGGGTTGCACTCAGAAGAAATGCTGGACAAATCATGGTATTGAAGCCCTTTGCAGTCAAGCAATGATTAAGGAAGCAAAGGAACCTGAACAAATAGATTCTGATATTTCATTTGTGATGTGAGTGTGAGATTCCAGATCACACCTCAGCATTGTTCGGGATTTCTAGCCATACTTTAACTCTTTATCCATATCTTCATTCCCTCTGTGCTTGAGGACTTTCTATCCCACACTGAAAGCTGCCACAGCAGTTTCCACACAAGGTGTAATTTAGGTGGTTGGGTTGGCAAGCACTGGGCCAGACACCCTGGCAATAGGTGAGGAAGGAGTGCTTACCCGTTCGCTCTGGCGGCTACCAGATGGTGATTCCTAAAAAACAGTACAATCTAGTTATTACATGGCAAATATTTCTGTTTTTTTTCTAAGCAAGGGTGGAAGGCATAGAAAAGTACTGCTTGTTGGGAAGGTTGAAGATGTAGGCTGTTGGATAAGCAGCCTACAAGCTCCTTCTCTGCTCATTCCCAGAGAATGGCATCTCTTAATTTTGCAAGCTGAATCCTGATAGAGTGAAATAAAGGAATTAGATCACATCTGAATCTATTTTATTTCCTTCAGAATGTTACAGGGGAAAACATCAGCCTTTTAAAAGCTGTCTTGGTTCTTGTAAAACCCCAGTGGTACACCAATGTTGTTATACCTTAGTTCATTTCAGAGGGATTTTTGGGTCCTCTGTAGAATCATATTTTAGCTTTGTTGAATACCCATAACAAGATTTTGATACAGAAACTGCATGGAAACTAATGATACCTGTGCACAGCTGAATTTTTAATTATTTGCAGAGAAATATTTCCTACGAACCAGGACACTGGAAAACAGACTTACTAGAAATCCAGTTAAAGTATGGTTACTTAAGACTGAGAAAATAAGACATTAAACCTGGAAGTTTTATAAGCAGCTTCACAGAATTAATAGGAAATATACTTTAGTAAGGAGAAATGGTCCTTTCTGAAACAGAACTGCAAACAGGTCTCACCACACTACATGAAAACAGCTCATTCCTAGGCAATATATAGATGAAGGAACTTCAAACTTATGTCTGGCATTGGAAAAACACAAATGAGGTGTAGTGTGAAGAGGAGAGGGAAA